AAATACAGTTATCTCATACTAGACAGAGGCTCCAAAAACATGCACTGGAGAAAAGGTAGCCTATTTAACAAATGGCACTGGGAAAACTGGAAATCCATATGTAGCAGAATGAAATTAGACCTCTATCTCTCACTCTGCACAAAACTCAACTCTACGTGGATCAAGGACTTAGGCATTAGACCAGAGACCCTATGCCTAGGAAAAAACAAAGTAGGCCCAAATCTCCATCATGTAGGCTTAGGAACAGAATTCCAAAATAAGACTCATAAAGCACAAGAAGTAAAATCAAATATCAATAAAGGGGATGGATTCAAACTAAAAATCTTCTTCTCAGCAAAGGAAACAATAAAGAACATGAAAAGAGAGCCTAAAGAATGGGAGAAAATCTTTGCCACCTATACTTCAGATACAGCATTAATCTCCAAGATATATAAAGAAATTTTTAAAAATTACCTCCAAAAAATAAATAAATAAATAAAACAAATGAGCTAAGGAACTAAACAAGCTCTTCACAGAGGAAGATAATAAGCAATCTATAAATATATGAAAAAATGTTCAACATCACTAACACAGAAATGCAAATTAAAATTACACTGATTCATCTCACCTCAATCAGAATGCAATTATCAAGAATACAAGCAACAATAAGTGTTGGCAAGGATGTGGGGGAAAAGGTACACTCATACATTGCTGGTGGGACTGCAAATTGGTACAACCACTCTGGAAACTAGTACAAAAATCACTCAGGAAACTTGGAACGGAACCACCATTTGACCCAATTAACCCACTTCTCAGCATATACCCAAAAGACTTAAAATCAGCATATTAAGGCGGGGGTTGTAGCTCAGTGGTAGAGTGCATGCCTCACGTGCATGAGGCACTGGGTTCAGTACCACATAAAAATAAAAATATTGTGTCCATCTACAGCTAAGAAAATATTTTTTAAGAAATCAGCATATCACAGTGATGAGGCCACATCAATATTCATAGCAGCTCAATTCACAATAGTTAAGCTATGGAACCAACCTAGATGCCCTTCAATAGAGGAATGGATAAAGAAAATGTGGTACATGTACACAATGAAATGTTACTCAGCCTTAAAGAAGAATGAAATTATGGCATTGGATGGAACTGAAGGCTATTAGGCTACGTAAAATAAGCCAAACCCAAAAAACCAAAGGCCGAATGTTCTCAATGCAGATGATGACTCACAAAAGGCGGTTGGGGGAGAGTAGAGGTTGACCACATTGGATGGGGAAATGGGAGAAAGGGAGTGTGGATGGGAATGGGATAGAGAGTGGAATGAATCAGACATAAACTTCTTATTTTCATATATGAATACTTGACCAGTGCAACTCCACATCATGTACAATAAGAATGATGTTATACTCTATGTATGTATCCTATGTCAAAATATATTCTACTGTCATATAACTAAAAAGAATAAATTTTTAAAATGGTAATTTGAAACAAACAAGTCTGTCCTCTAGCCCCACAAATCTCAGATAACTCAATATGCTGTATAGACAATCAGAGCCAAGCTCAAATGTTGTCAACTAAGCTGAAATGCTATAAATTACATCATAAATGAGTATGCTGGCAGTTCTAACACATATCTACTAAACTCCAACTTACATTATTGTAAGTTATGAATGAAAAAGATGATTCTTTAAAAAGCATTCTTTTTTAAAGGCAATATTATAGCTCCAGCTTTTTCTGAAGCTCTTTTGTGGGACTTAATAAATAAGAAACAAGCACATACAATCATGTATGGTTTTCATAATACTTAATCAAATAACCTTTCAATAATCTTTCTTCTAGATTAATTTGCTTTGTTTTTACAGCCTTTTCACACATACAAAAAAGTAAACATAAGTAAAAAATATTTATTTTTTACTCTCAGATTTCCTAATTTCAGGTAAACATAAGTAAAATATCCTGAACTTAAATTCTCTATTCCAAATATTATAACCCAAATAAAATGTATTATTCAAATTATGTATAAGGTTTTTATAGAATTTTATAGCTATACTCCTGCATAATCTATGGATTTTTTTCTTTACTTGTGTTTTTTTGTTTGTTTGTTTGTTTTCAGAAGTGTTACACAAGATCAAGAAATCTAACCAATGTTACTATTTCACTTCAAAAAACTAGAAGGTAGGCCAGGCACAGTGGCACAGGCCTTTAGTCCCAGAGACCTGGGAGGCTGAGGCAGGAGGATCACACATTCAAAGGCAGCTTCAGCAACTTAGCAAGGCTCTAGGTAACTTAGTGAGACCCTGTCTCAAAATAAAAAGGGCAGGGGATGTAGCTCAGTAGTAAGTGCCCCTAGGTTTATTCCCCAGTACCAAAACAAACAAACCAAAAAAACTACAAGGTAAATGGGGCTTGTGAAACCCTGGACAATATCAACAGTATACACAGTACTGGCACCTAATACAGCATAAATGGGAGTTGCTATTATTGTTGTAGATATTGTATATTTTAAAAAATAGCATTGTTCTTCAAAGATCACTAGGAAAATACAAAAAAAATAAATAAAAAGAAGGTAGTTTTCTGTTTGTTTTTTTAGTTCTTTTTCTGGGTGAATTCTACCATGCTTAAAATTTCCTGTTAGGCCAATTTTATATAGTATTTAATATATAACAGATACTTAAACACTGTTGTCTACTACAGAGCAAAAACAACTGCCATTTTCCTTTTTAAAATGAGAGTATAATTTCCACTTGAATTAGAGCTGCATGTTTTGTACCTTAAGGTGTTGCTCAAGCCAGGAGCATGAGCATGTGGCTCAAGGTAGGCAGAAAGCTAAAACACCAAAGAAGGACTCATGAGTCCTTCCTCCCTGCCTTCGCCTTCCTCTGACTTTCAGGCCTCTTTTTCAGACATCACCCTCACTCCAGCAAAGCTAAAGCATCCTCAGTGGGGTGCTACTTGGAACAACCTGTCTTCAGAGGCTGAGTTCCAAAAACCATTCAATCCTAAGAGCCCTGAAGTTCTTTTACAATGTGCTCACTTCAGTTATTAGCTAGGGATGGGGGAGGAGAGAAGTTGAAGTTCCCATCTGTGTGTTTATTTTCCTGTTGCAAAAAGGAACCTGGTAATTGAACTTGACCCTTACACATGGGATGCAAGTGCCCCCAACCCAGGAGCCTGTCTTAATTACTTTGTGTTTGGTTTGAATTTAACTCAACAATGTATTTTCTACTTTCCCTATTTCTTCTTTTATCCAGTGGTTATTTAGGACTCTTCTATTTAATCTCCACTTTCCAGTAAATTTGCCCAAATTGATTTCAAATTTCATTCCATTGTGGTTATAGAACACATTTTATATTATTTTAATCCTTTTAAATGTACTGAGGTTCATTATTACCTAGCATGTTGTCTTCTCTAGAGAATGTCATGTGCCCTTATGAAAGATACGTGTTCCTGTTGTTGTGGGGAGTATTCTATAGATGTCTTTTGGTTCTAGTTAGTTTATGGTGTTGTTCAAACGTTTTATTTCCTTGTTGACCTTCTGTCTAGTTGTTCTGTCACTGAAAATGGAGTACTGAATTTTCTAACTATGAATTGTTTATTTCTTCATTCAATTCTGTTAGGTTTTGCTTTATATATTTTAGGACTGTGTTAAAAAGTACATACATTCGTGATTGTTATGAATTCCAAATGAACTTATCCTTTTATCATTATAAAATATTGTTTTTTGCCTCTAAAAATTTTGGTATTCCTCTATTTTGTCTGATGTTACTGTAGTAACCTCTGGTTAGGGTTTGCATGAAATATCATTTAATTCCCTTTACTTTCAATATATTTTTGTCTTTAAATCTAATCTGTCTCTTACATCCAGCATATAGTTGGATCATATGCTTTTTTATTCTGCCAATCTCTAACTTTCAAGTGTTTAATCCACTTAGGTTTATTGATCTGTGTAATGGCTACATTTTGCTAATTGGTTTTTATGTCATAACTTTTATGTCCACTTATTCTTCCATTACTGCTTTTTGTTGTTGTTGTTGTTCCAGAGATTGAACTTGGGGACACTCAATCACTGAGTCACATCCCCAGTCCTATTTTGTATTTTATTTAAAGACAGGGTCTCACTGAGTTGCTAAGCACCTCACTGTTGCTGAGGATGGATTTGAACTTGCGATCCTCCTGTCTCAGCCTCCCAAGCTGCTGGGATTACAGGCGTGAGCCACCATGCCCGGCTCCCTTACTACCATTTTATGTGTTAAAAACATATTTTATAGTAGTTCATTTTAATATCATTTATTTATTATCTTTTATTATATTTTTAATTTCTTTTTTTTCCTAGGGGTGGTGGTTACCCTAGGGATAACAATTAACATCTTAATTTGTAATTATGGATCTTGTTTTGCTTCAAGATTTTTGGAATTTGAATAGTGTAGTCAAAGTTAGGTTCAGAAAAATAAAAGAGCTCTTCATAAATTTTATTTATGTACCCAGTAGAAGATTCTTATTATAACAAACACCTGCCTCTGGGATGAACACTTACCTTATCTAATAAAACGTTCTGCCACAACCTAAATATACTGAGGTAACTTCTGTCCCTGGCACCAAAAGATGTAAAGAAAAACTGCAAAGGAAAAATAATAGAACAATTTAGTAACAGAAAAGAAGGAAAAAGCATCTGCCATAGAGGTCTGCTGGGGATTTCAATGGTCAAAGCAAACTAATAGGTTACAACTGCCTACTTTATATACTCATTTTTATTTGACTTTTTATTACAATAGGAGAAAATCAGTTATCTGTTGTATGAACACAGTGTCTTTACAAATAGTGTCTCACAACAAATAGTATCTTACAGCAAACACAATTTTGTCAGTATTAGTAGGGAAAGGGACTTTAAACATCATAAGTAGGTATTTATGTTCATCAAAGTTTAAATATTAGAAAATCAACTTAATTTTTAAAATTACAAATTTTATTTTATTCTGAACTTAGAAAGATAAATAAATTGAATTGACTGACATTTGAGCCAAATATACAAAAAAAAAAAGAACAAAAACTACAAGTGGATTAAAGAGATGGATTTATTTTAAGGATCTTAATTTTAAATTATATTATCATTTGTAATCTTTGAAAAACTCTAGAAATACTTTCTACTAATTATAGATATAAAACACCCATGTTAACTCTGAACTTTTTTTTGTTACAAAAGAAAAGTAGTATGTTTCAATTTATCATTCTGTTTTCAGTTCATATTTTTCTTTGCATTTAACTGATTTTTGCAAAGTCATATTGGAAAATAGGCTTTTATAGGAAAATGTGACAAGACAGCCTATTTTAAATATAGTCTCTCAGTGTGACATCTCTTCCAATCTCCTACTTAGTGACCTTTCATGACTAAGGTGTTATCTTCAGGAATGAGATATCTTGGTTCTATGCTGGAGTTATTAAATAAAATGTCAAAAATATTTAGGGTATTGACACTTTACATAGACAGATTTTTAAAGTGCTATTTTCTGATTCCTAAAATTGAAATTTTGGTAAATATTTTTCATAGAGCAAAAGATTTTATCAATAGGATTTTCCAGGAACTCTTTCAAATAATTTTATAACCATAATATATAATGTAATGGTCACTACTTATTACTGTCCACTATTCTCATTTCTTAAGCCAAATTGTTTTGCCTAATTAAGATAACCTTAAAATTCTGTGTTCAGAAACATAGATAAGAAAAATCTGCCTATCTCATTTTCACCAGTATGCTATGTTTGCTAACCTCTACTTCTAAAACTAAATACTCCACTCTTGAACACAATCACCACATTTCCAGTTCCTTAAAACTCCAAGTTTTCTGGATAATCTTGACATATTACTACCTTCCTTTATTTCTTGCTACATATCCAACTTCAAAAATTATTAACAAGGTAGAGTGCAGTGACACTCACCTGTAATCCCTGCAACTCCAGAGGCTGAGGTAGGAGGATTTTAAGAATAGCCTCAGCAATCTGTATACAGGGTAAAATGGGAGTTCATAATCCGCTTGAATCAAATGTATGAAATAAGATATGTCAAGAGCTTTGTAATGTTTTGAACAACTAATAATAAAAAAATAAATAAATAAACTATTTTAATAACTACCAAAAAAAAAAAAGAATAGCCTCAGCAACTTAGCAAGACCATTCCACTATATAAGAAATAAAAAGAGGATATAGCTTAGTAGTAGAGCGTTTGCCTAGCATGTGCAAGATCCTCAGTTCAATCCCTAGGACTGAAAAAAACAATGACAACAACAACAACAAAACTATTAATAAGCGCTGGTTCAAGAATAAGCCTACTAATTGAGGAAGAGTTCTGAATAATGTACTATCTAAACCAATGAAGCACAGAATATATTCTAGAACTTAATAAGAACTAAAAGTAAAAAGTAAAATAATTAGTCTTCCTTTAATCATAAAGTATATATAAGTGATGAAGATTAAGCAGTACAAGAGTTTTTCCCCATTCTGATAGAAAAAGAATTCACTGAGCTAACACGGTCTACAGGAATTAAGACCAGGGTCTATGAATTAAACTGCTGTTCTGGTTCTATCACTTATTAGTTCTCTGACTTTGAGGCATTTCTGCCTTCTTTTCTCATCTACAAAAAGAGAATAATTGAATAATTATAGTAGCAGATATTTATAAAAATTAAATGAGAAAATATGTGAAGTGTTTAAAATAACATCTACAACCAAGTGTTCAGTAAATGCTAGGTGTTATTATCATTATCAAAATTAATATGTTTTGCCCTGAAATTTCACTATGTATGTAAGAAACAGTAACTCATGAGCTTAAGAAGGCATGGTAAGACTGTTCACTGCAGCATTGTTATAAGAGTAAAATATTAAAACTGAATTAATGATCAACGGAACCACAAGACATCCAAAGAAATACTATATAGCACTTCAAAAATCAAAGATAGTTCTTTCTATATGCATTCATCTGCAATTCCAAGAGATAATTTTGTTGGGTTTTATTGTGGTGATGGTAGTCATTAATTTTGTAGTACTGGGGATTGATGGAGCCTTGTGCATGCTAGGCAAGTGCTTTACCACTGAACTACATTCCCAGGCCATCCCCCTCCCTGGAACCCTTTTTTTAAAGACAGGGTCTCACTAAATTGCCCAGCTTGGGATTCTCTTACCTCAGTCTCCACAGTCCACAGAATTACAGGCATTCACTATGATACCCAATTTGGTGCTAATTTCTTTTAAAAAGAGAGCTGAGTCACGTACCTTGGTACCTACTTGTAATTCCAGAGACTCAGGAAGCTCAGACAAGGGGATTGCAAATTCAAGACCAGCCTCAGCAATTTAGCAAGACCCTAAGCAACTTAGTGAGATCCTGTTTCAAAATAAAAGATTTTTTAAAAAGGGCTGGGAATGTGGCTTAGTGATAAAGCACCTCTGGGCCCCTCGGTTAAATCTCCAGTACTCCTACCACCACCACCCCCAAAAAAGAGCAAGAGAGATGAAGAACAATATGAATAAGATAGCATTTACTTTAGAAAAGCAAAATTATATATACATATATGCATACACAGATGTATGCACATATACATGTAAACACAAAGGCAGACTGAAAATACAAATCAAATTATAATAGCATTTGCCTCTGGAAGGACAATGGAATTGAGGCTTTACTGACATGGAAGGAAGATGTTAGTTAAGAATCATTTGATGATTTTGTTAAATAATGAAAATGTATGTATGTATTAATTCTAAAGGTAAGAATATTAAACTATTCCCTTACTAAATAAGTTATCACTAAAGGTGTTGGTAGAACAGAAAAAAGAAGGCCCTACACTAGCAGTGAGGATGGGGGCAGAAAAACTTAAAGCAGTGTTTAGATCAGAATGAGGAGGTTGTTCACAAAGAAGCATTGTCTCACACAGTGTCAGAGCCCAAGCGGGTAAAAAGACCTCTGACAGAGAAATGTGGATACAGGGGAAAGGACATGTGCCATCAGTCCAAGCAAGGTGAGGAAATCATAGGTCAGGCATATGAGAATATTTGAGTCATGGTGGGATGGGCAGTGGCCCAACTCTGTCAGAACCTTTCATGAGGTGAAAGGACATCCATGTTGGGGGTGATAGTGGAGATGGAGATTGGTTCCAAACAGGCTAACTGGTCAAATAATGGATAATGGGAGCCTGGTTTCTCATTGTCAGGGAAAGAGGGGTTACAAACATGGAAATGGAGAAAACAAGAATGAACTCTGTGGTGTTCAATTGGAATGGGAAGTATTGATATGTGTTCATGGATGATAGATGGATAGATGAATGACTGGCTGCATGGAAGGAGGGATAGATAGATATATAAGTGGGCATATGTATGTGTGTGCATTTTGAATGTGGGTGTATGATTACATAAAATAAATAAACAATAAAACATTATACACATAATATACACTCTTTTTCTGTCCACAGAGAATTCAGAAATAGTGATACCCCAATACAATGAATATGCTAGCTTCTAAATATTGGTCTTCTCCTAAAGAAATCAAAACTCCTTGAAGAAATGATAGATTCTAGCACTGGAACAGCCAAAGTCTGAAACATCTTGTGCCAAAAAGCAAAGAAATGTTCAAACAATACTGAAAATAGTCAAAAGAACATAAACACCAAGTTGAAAGAGTTTCAAATGCCCAAACTTGGGAAATCTGAACATCAAAATAAGTAACTGTAGTGATTATAAGCATTGAATAAAATAAAAACCATGAATTCATAATGATATAAGTAAATGATAAAAATAAACAAATAAATAAATTTAAGTTTGGCAAGAATGGTATGTTTATATAGTTTCAAAGCATCTTGCTTCAAAATATTTGTATAGGAAAATAGATTAACTTTAAAACAAAGACTGGCAGACACAATTAAATAATCAATATAAATATCACCAGTAATGGCACAAACTAAAATTATGTACCATCTGATAGGATCCAAAAGGAAGAAAAGAGCATCATTTCTAGGGATTTCTTCCAAAACTGCATAACCCAAATTTAATCATAAGGAAACATCAAACAGATTCAGGAATATCTTACAAAATAATTGACCTGTAATCTTTAAAAGTGTCAGGAACATAAAGGTAAAGCAAAGGCAAAAAGGACTCCTCCAGGAAACTGAGGAACACAGAACTGAGTCTATTCCTGGAATAACTGTGGAAATTGAAAGCAGTCCAAAGATTAAACAATGATAAATCAATATTACTTTCTTGATTTTGATGGTTATATTATGGTTATGTAATACGAGGGCAACAAGGCATCTGGGTTGACAGACAGTTTACTCTCAAAATAGTTCAGTGGGGAAAGGTCTTTGTATTGTATTCGGAAATACTCTGTAGGAATGAGAATGTTCAAAACAAATAGAAGGGGTTGGGAATATAGTTCAGTGTCAGAGAACTTGCCTACCATGTGTGCCTGGATTTGATGCCTGACACCACAAAAATAAATAAACAATAAAACTCAAAGTGCATTTGAAAGAAACTTTATAAGATTAAAAAGTATAATTACAGAGCTGGGACTATAGCTCAGTGGTAGAGCGCTTGCTTTGCATATGTGAGGTACTAGGTTCAAACCTCAGCACCACATAAAAATAAATATATTGTGTCCATCCACAACTAAAAAAAATTTTTGTAAGTATAATTACAAAGACTTAATATCATGATCCTGTTTCTCTCTCCCCATGTTCTTTCTTTCCTTCACTTCCTTCTTCCCTTCCTTCCTTCTTTCCTTCTCTCTGATTCCCCTTCATACCCTACCATACTTTCCTTCCATACGTTCCTTCTTTCTTCTTTTTCCTCAGCATTATGTTTCTAATATCAGACACATAGCCCTGAACAATTTTTTCAAATGGGTATAGAAAGATTACTCATATATCCCCACCAAGAAATGATAGACATTGCAGGTGAATAATAAAATGATGGCTATTAATTGCCATTGTTAAGAAAAGATTATAATGATTATGTGTTCTTACTTGTATGCTGCCCAAATCTCTGCTCACAAGACTATGTTTTTATTAGTTGCTATTATGCAGGTATTACTGACTAAACAATCATGAAATTATTACAGTATTTAGAAATAATAAGAACATTTTACCAACACTCATCCTGCCTACCTCTTAACAATGAGAAAATGAAAAATATGGGTGAAAGTTCTCATAAACTATGAAGTACAAAAAAGTCAGTCATTTAAAGTTAATCACCAATAATTATTAAAGTATACATAAACCTACTATTAAAAACAGCGTATTTCTACAAGATATTCCTAACTTCAACAGCTGCCTATATTCTCAATACTGATGATCAGTATGATGCAAATTTTCTTCACACTATGGAACATGGCAAAGGTAGAAAAGTTTTTCACCTTTTCACCATCTGTAATGATCTGGATAGCATTTGGGATCAGTCGAGCAGTTTTCTCCTTGGTCATAAAGGTTATATTCTTCAAAGCAATAGAAATCTAAACATACAAAAGAATTGAAAAATCAAAAAGTATATTTTTTAGAAGTATATACAATACAAAATGCCAAGGATTATAATATAATTCTAATCCAGAATATTTAGTAGAAAACTCTGAAGGGATTAATAAACACATGCTTATATCCTTTAGGAAAAACAAGGTAAGCACTCAAAACATTCTTCCCTTCAGTATTCTCCTCAACCAACTCCCACATCTTACAGTAGGACACAGTGTGAAAATACGCATGGGTGTTCATGTTCCACGTTAACACACCAACACACAAGCAAAACTCAGACAGTCTTTCACATAAAATTTGGTTTTGTCAGCCAACAGATATATATCCAAGCTTTTGCAATCTGAAATTTTTCTGTAACCATATCTAATAAGTATAAATGGAGCTCAAGGTATTAAGTTAGAAAAATATGTTATATTTTATACAACATGTAAATTTACTCATATCTAAGTAAAGATGCACAAATATACATATGAATTTACTTTGGAATTGTCTAGAATACATTGTTTTTAAGGGGACAGTATATATTTCTATTTATGCAATTATTTGTACTAAATAATCAAATTCAAAAATATGTCTTACTGTAGTTTCCCATCTGAAGATGTTGCTATAGAAACAGAGCCAGTTTTCTGAAAGGTATAGTCGTCCCTGAAGCAAAATGTCCCTTTGAAGAGCACAAGCATAATCTATATACACAAAAATAAGGAACATCTATTCACAAAAATGTGGCAACTGAATAAACCCAATACTATTTCAACAAATAAAAAGTCATCACAATTTGTTCATTAGTTCACTCTTCATATACTTGGCTGTGCACTAAGATTACCAGAAGTGGATCTTACCCTCATGAATCAGTCTAGAAGGACGGCAGATAATAAACAAATAAATACAAAGTAAGTATGATAATGACCAAACACAGATAAAGCTATGAACATATACATGTAACAAGAGCTATGAAGGTAAGTGGGTGGGATGTGGAGATAGGATATCAGGAATGATTCCCCTAAAAAAGCAGTCTATAAACTAAAGTCTAAAGATCAATGAAGTCTCACCAGGCTCATAAAGGAATAACACATTTAAAAGCCCTATAGTGTTAAAATACAGCGAAGAACAGAGGAGTAGGAGAATGAAATGGAGGAAGGAAAGAAAAGGAGAAGATAAATGAAATGAACTTAACAAAATCACATTATATTCCATATATAGATATCGAAGGGAATTTCACTTTTATGTATATGTAGAAGAAAGGAAATGTAATAGCATACAGGAGGGAAAATAGGGGGAAGGAAGAGGAGAGGAAATGGGGGGATGGGGCTTGCTAACAAATTCCTTGCATGTATTATTTTGTCAAAATGAAACCAATAACTGTGTATAATAACGATGCTCTAATAAAAAAAAGTTTTTTAAAAAGCCCTATGGTAGAAAAAAACATGGTACATTTTAGGATCTAGAAAAAGATAGCTCTCTAGGCTTGAGAAGCTAAATAAGTACATCTTGTAAGGTCTCACAGTAGAATGGACTCTGAGAAGCTACTGATGAGTTTTTGTTTTTTTAATGTCTTGGTTTTTATTTAATTATTTTTATGTGGTGCTGAGGACTAAACTCAGTGCCTCACATGTGCTAGGCAAGCACTCTACCACTGAGCTACAACCACAGCCCCCCACTTAGGAGTTTTAAGTGGAAAGGACATGATCAGATGTAGATTATTAAATAGTGCTTTAATCACATTCCAAAAATTGATTTCAATATGCCAGCTGGAAGTCCAGGGGACAGATGATGGTGGTTCAGACCAGAAGAAAACAATATTAAGGGAAAGATTTAAATTCATAAATATTTAGGAAGTAGCACTGATGAGGAATTGGTGATTGGTTATAATGTTAAAAGAGAAGGCAAAGATGACTCAGAAATTTGTATAAATTTTTTAAGTCAATTTCAAAGTTGATCCTCTTGATCTCAGCACTAAAATCCAGCAAAATCAAGTCTTCAGTTTAAAAAATACAAAAGAAACTTCGTGCAAATGTCACTGCCTACCAAACAAGTTAATACCATGTGTCTAAGATGAAGTCTGACTCTGTGGCAAATACAAACAGGAGTGTAAATGTGAGATATAAAGAGTTGCTATAAGGTGTTTTAATTAGGCAGTAAATTTTTAAATTCCATAATGTAATTAGCAATTTTAGAAAAAGGTTTTACAAACCTCAAGATATTTATACTTAGTCATGTTAAATTTCTAAGCAAACACTAAAAATTGAGCAAAGTAGCCAGTCTTTCACAATGCTTCCTTCAGTAAAACAAACCTGAGATACCACCAAACAAAAATTCCTAGTAAATAATTAAGCAGATTAAGTTACTCATTTACTAGTATATATCTTCAAAACAGATATTAGACTAAAGGTTACCTTGAGGTATCATGAAATTTTTATATAAACCACTAAAATATTTCATTACTTTAATGCTCCTCATATTTCATATTAGAAATACCTGGCAGACTTATTAGAACACAGATTGCTAGGTCCCTCCCTCAGAATTTCTGATTAAATAGGTCTGGAGAAAGGTCAAGAGTCTGTGTGTCCAACAGGATCTCAGGTGATGCCAGCATGGCTAGTCTGTACACCACAGCACATTATTTTAAATTAATCATATTAAAAGTTATAGGGGAAAAAAGCTACAGAAACCATTACCTGGGCATACTTTTTATCAGTGGGTTTTTAAAATGACTTCCCTAAAATGTGTATGTTCTATCATAATAAATGTATACCTCAATAAAATTGAATTTTAAAAAAATGACAAAGGCAATATATCCTATGCAAGAAATAAAACATTTTCTTTTAAAAGTAAAGAGGTTTTACTCTTCTTCTTTTCTTCTAATTTACCAACTGATAAATGAGTATGCACCACAATAGTAATCAGTGTTTCAAGAGGCAATATTCTACCTGACTTAAGTCATATTAACAATCTAATTCACCTAGGATGAAATGAGAAAATAACATTTAAAACAAATTATTTTATGGATGTTATAACTTTAAAATTGGTTATCAGAAAGAGTAAAATTGAAGAAGTTAACCAAGAAACTTAAGTCAATGTGTGACAAGCATTAACATCAATCAATTACTAGCTATTGCATGATCAATTGTGGCAAACTGAATAGCTCCAACTCTAAAGATTTACTTTAGCAACTACAACAAAATGAAGGATACAGAATAAAGTGCTATGGTAATGGATAAAGAGTGTATCAGTACCATATACATATACATTAAACTTGCACAATAAATAGTAAGTACATACTTAATTAGATAAGATATACTATTTTGTTTTATTGATGGAGTTAGGCCTACTATCCAAAAGGGAAGTGACAATGAACTATGTGAATGTGCCTTTTTAAACAATAATATTAGGAAATACATATCTAAAAGCATTTCATTCTAGCAGCAATCATCTTTGAGAGCCCAATTATGCTGACACTGCTTTAAAAAAATTAAAAGACTCAAGACATTTTTAGAATTGCTTACAAATTTAAGAAAATTAAGTTACCAAAGTAACTATTTCATTTTTTATTTTGTGTTTTACTTGAAATAACAGGAGTAAATATAAATTGAATAAAAAAACCCTGATTTTCCCTCCTGCAGAAAGGGAAACAGATATTCCCCTTGCTTTCCTTGGAATATTTTCTTTAGAAAACTTGCAAATTCTTTCCCTGCTCCTTTGAGGATGCATGTGAATCTTTTTAAAAGCTAAATAGGCTTCTTGCCAGTTTTAAACCAGAAATTTTTTCTCAAGGACCTGGGAGCCATCTCTGAAAAGTAAATATCAAGGAAGATAACATCTCTATCTCCAGAATCTGTGAGAAGGTAGGAGTATAATTTCAGTGGACACCTCACTTCAAGTTGCAAAACTAACTCCTGCCATAAAAATATGAGTTTATTTTTCCTTTGGATTTATGCCAACTAGCTATCACTGATGGTTGCCCTAATTATGAGGTTAATTTGAGATGAACTATATGTGACATATGGTGATGTCAAGTCCTCTTATTTTAAGGACTAATGATCATTTCTTTAGAGCCTACCCATAGTGGTTTGTATGTGCTTGACTGTGTAACAGAGTAAGAGATTTCTTTCAGTTCTTAAGACCTCTTGTGGGTTGCCTGCAATGCACTTCACATTCTGGTTTAATGCTTAATTGATAATAAATTGTTTTCTTTCTCTTTGACTTTTGTGGAGAGGTTTTCTGAGTTGGTAGGAGATTTTTATATTCCTTCAACACAATATTATTTGTTTTATCCACATTGTTCACTCAGATACTCAGAGAATTTAACAAGGTTTTAAGTAATGATATCCCTGGAAAAAAAGAATATAGTCTCCTAAGCCAAATACTTTCAATGGAATAGAGTTATTTAAGTAATAAATCATACATAGAATGGCTGATCTAAGTTGGGAGGGATACTGACATGCACTTACTTCCCTGTTTTTCTCTACAATTGTTTTGAGAGGACAGGGAAAACACAAAAGAGATTAAATCCATAACAATGCTGAGGGGTAGGTAAAAGAATGATTATATTAGCAGACTGAAGGTTTTGTTAAATTTTAGAAGACAAAAAGTGGATATCAATGAACAAAGTGTGGAGAAAGCCTCATCTTAAAAAAAATATGCAGACAAAGAAAAAAATATACAGACAAAAGCTACAGTAGAAATACAGCCATTCTTCCCTATATATACACATTTAGAATCAGCAAGCCCAAAGAGGGATGGTTATGATAGATACAGACATCAAGGACATAACCGATGGGTTCCCTCAGAGGTCAGCCATACCCACTATGTCTTCCAAACACTGGCAGAATTTACCCAATCTTTAAAAGGCCACAGCTCCTAATGTGAATGTTAGTGTACCAGAGTAAAAGTTGAATTTAGGCATTTAAGGTTGAGGGTATAGCACAGTTTAGATCTTGAATGTCCACCAAACACCATGTGCTGAAGCACCTTTGCGAGGTAGTAAAACCTTTAAATGGTGGGACCTAGTGGAAGGAAGTTGGGTCACTGCCACTGAAGGGGATATTATGACCCCAGCCCTCCTCTCTCTTTGCTTCTCAGAAGCCATGAGGTAATCAAGCTTTGCTCCACCACATGCTCCCCACCATCATGTACTTCCTTGCCACAGGCTCAAAAGCAATGAAGTCGACCAATCATGGTCAGAAACCTCTGAAACTGTGAGCCAGAATAAATCTTTCCTTCTTACAAGTTGATTATCTCAGGCATTTAGTCACAGCAATGGAAAGCTGACTAATACAGTGTAGGAATCCAAATCTGCTTTCTCTCTGTACAAAGAAAGATTTGTCAGTCAATATGCCTCCTTTCTACCTTTCTACCTTTCCATACATACAGGGGAGAGTTTTCTTGGATAAACAAAGGGATATGCTTAGAGATAATCCACTCCAACTCTGTAACAATTTATTCCTTCACTCATAATATAGAAGGACAACCATAAGATTATACAGTTCATATTCTTCCAGCACACATTCTCCTTCCCCCAACCCCTACCAATCAGCACCAACTTATTTCAAGGTTGACATAACTTCAAAAACAAATGAGAAAAATTTTGCTCTTCTTCTATTGCATAATTTGGGGCCATCAGTTCCTTGAAAATTGAATAAAAGTTATTTCTGAAAACATCTGGGCATAAGGCCTTATGTTTGGC